TCCAGCATGGCATTCACACATTCCCATACACATGCGCAATGACAAGCAGACTTGGAGAGAGGAATCCACACCACACCAGATGAGGAGAATGCTCAGCGGAAGCTCACAAAACCGAAAATAGAATTGAAATTAATCAATTCTAATTCGTATCGTCTCTCTCTAGTTCAATCAGCACCAGAATTCCCAGGATCCCAACCACATTATCAACATCCACGAACCAACTATTTACAGAGTTTCATAAAGTACGGGAGACTTCATCTTCCTCCCAACCTCGAGCTCACAGCTATGGCGCAGTGCGCCCAACCTATCAAGGCCACCCATCGCCACCAACTCTCCTGAACCCGAAATGCCACTTAGCAGCCCAATCTCGATTCCCCCACTGCAGATGGAGTGTCCGCTCAACAGGGCAGGGTAGCTCCCAGGATGAAGAAGAAGAACACCAGCACTTGATGAAGAAAGATGGCTTCCGCTTCACACTTCGAAGAAGGGTCTCGGCGACAGCGTTGCCTATCCCCAACAGCACAGGTACGAGGAGGCACCCCACAGAGCACCAGGCCTGGCGCCCAGGGCTGTCTCAACATGAGCTAGGAAGCCCCAGCTATGGCTACCAACCCTCACAGCATGAAGATGGTGCTGTAGGTAAACAAGCAGGGAGTGGCCTCCAGCAGCACTTTGTGGAAAAAAAATGACGAGACAGAACCCGTTTTTCCTTGACTTCCACACTTTTGTAGACTGCTGTTTTCCCTCACTCGACAGCCTACAGCCTAGGAACGTCAGCCTATAGCCTAGGAACGAATCTAGACCTAAAATTGGCAAAAGGGAAGGACAGAAAGGACCTACAACTCAAGGGAAGAAAACAACAAAACAGAGAGGCCCAGTGGTTCTATGACTACCCTACAGAGACTCTCACACTCAGACCTAGGGATCGAGCCTAGTAAGGCTCACACATACAAAGAAACACACAACCACGGTACAGGTCACGAGTCAAGTCTCGGAGAACTCAAAACCAGCCCAAACAGATCGAAGTAGTCTACAGCCCGGATAACACTGCAATTCATTGCAATATGGAAAGCCGTATGTAGTGAGACCATGGGAAAGAAGAGAACCTCCCCCAGGGAACAAGGGAGGACGCCTAGAGAAAGGAATCTCATTCTCCCTGGTTCAGTCCTCAGTCCCAGTCCGCGGTTCCAGTCCTGAGTCCCAGCTCATTGTCCCGAGTCCCAGGTCCTAGTCCCGAGTCCCATTCACTGTTCCATTAGTGGTTCCGGCCATTTGTACAACATTCACAAATTCTCTAGAAGAGTAGTTTTCGTTTGTACCATGATTGCAGAGGCCTAGGCAGGTTATTTAAGTAGATCATAGTAGGAAGTACCTGGTAACGGTTATGGGTTGAAAAGTCCATCTTTAGAAGGCACCACAAACTTCAGCCAAGGTCACAAGGGACGTCAGGCCAGATATCCAAGGGAAGCATGTAAGTTTCCAGAAGCAGCGAACAATGGCAAGGGTTCCAACCCATAACCAGCAGAAGATGTCTGGAAGGCGGATCAGCAAGTGTAAAAGTCCAGCAGCACCGGGACGTCAGCACATCCTTTACCTCGCTGTCCCGTTAAATAATGGTTAAACGTGAGGAATAAGAAAAGAAAACAGATGCCCAATAAAAGAACTTTTGAGCCACAGATAGAGGATCTCTGCCACAGCTTCTTCAGATGCCCCAGAATAGAACCTCTATGGCAAAGAATTAGAAATATTTGGGAGAAAACAGCCACGATAGAATTCACAAATAATCCCGTACTCCTACTGCGAGGCTTTAACACACCAGAAGAATGTCCCAACTTAGAGAGCAACCTCTTTCAAATTCTTAGGAAGGTGGCCCTATGGACTATTTGGAGGAAGAGGTGCCAGGAGACAATTGATAAACATCCAGTTCACATCCAATTGTATAAGCAATGTTCGATCAGCAGGAAACCACAAAAAAGTACGTCCGCTCGCCCTAGCCAGCGACCGCCGAGCTGTTTGGGATCCTCAGAAACTTTACGCAACGCAGGAGGCTGGGGCCTATTTCAACAGCAGGTTGAAACAGATTCTGGGTACTATGGAGCAGGGTGAGAAGGAAAATGAGAAAGGACGAGATCAAAGCATAACACAAAAAGAACTTCGAGAACAACTACCTGGCAAAGAGTAAGACTGCAACGACCAAAGGCCATAGCCTAGTCTTCACAATATGGGAAGGAAGCTCAAATGCACCTCAAGCAGAATCACAGTCACTCATTAGCGTCCGTGATCCTTAGACATTCATACGGAATCCTCATAGAGAAGAGCAATAGATGGGCTGAGCACATCACGAGGACACAGGCTAGTATACTAATCAAATCACAGTACTACAAGCAGGCAGGTCCAAGGACCACAGACAAGTAGCAGAAATGGCTCAGGCAGGGTAAAGGGTTCTAGTAAAGCCACCAGAGAGCACCGGTCTAGACCAGTCCAATCATCATCGATCACCCGATAGTGATAAGACCTGGAAAATGATCACTACGGTTTAGGGTTTAGCCCATATTCAGACCTAGGATCGCTAGGGTTCAAGGTTTTGGCAGGAGTAACTGTAAACACGCAAAAAAGGGAGAGGGAAAGTTAGCTAGGGGTTAGGGCTCTAGCAGAGTTTGTAGCAATCAAGTCAGGCAGGGCTTAGGGTTTTATCAAAGACCATGGCGAGGTGCAAAGCCGGCAGTTCCAGCAAGTAAAGAAAATCTGACAGTCAAGGAGCTGAGAGGAACAGGCAGGTTGGGACCTGAGGAGGCAAGCTACAAGTACCAAAAAGATAGGGCAATCAGGCTAGCATCCAAGAGCAACAGTAAATTAGAGCAGGCTAACTCAGGCAGGGGTGAAGGGTGTACATCCTTCGTTCAGGACGTAATCAATGTTGTCCTTCGGGCCTCAACACCGTAAGGGGGAGGAGCATGCACAAGTGCTTATTGTAATCCTTTCTTATGACTTGCCGGGGGAATAGGAGCCGGACTGATGCTCCCCAGAATGGAAAAGGAGCCAGAACCCTAAGGTTCTGTTTTTTTTTTATAACAAAAACAACAACAATGTGTGCGCGTGTCTCTCTCTCACATTCCATCCGCAAATCATCACAAGCCATCCATGAAACAAAAGGTGTAGATACTAGATAGGCAATATAGTAGAAGATGCAAGGTTGGTGACGTTTGTGTGGTTACATTCTGGAAAGTGGTAGCGTGAGACTGCCTGAAACATTCCTTTGCTGGCATGCACTTGCTCAGCCCCAGGTAGTTCAGGAATTTAGTTCATCTAGTTCCATCTGGATTCGAGCACAGGTCTGTGATTCAACAGTTTCCGGGTGTACCAACTGAGCTAGGCCCGCTGGTACTGGCAGTCAATCCTTTTTTTGTTTTTTTTTGAAAAAGCGCCCAGCTGGGATACTGCCAGGGGTAAAATGAGCATCCCCTCGCAGTAGCCCCGACCGGTGATCCAATCTATTGGTGGGCAGTCTCACCTGCTGGAAACCACTGGCAGTCAATCCTGCTTCCTAAGGAGCAATCAATGATCAATGTTCACCTGAGGTTGCTTCGCCTGTAATGGAAGGAAGCATTTGAGTGGACATCATTGTAGATGTTTCACTTGCCCATGAAATAGGAACCGCACTGATCCTAAGGATAGCAGTAAAAGTCGCTCTCGTACTCAACGGACATCCGACAGTCAAATGGCTGACATGAGCAAGCAAGGGACAGCCCTGATAGATAAGGTCAAGCACAAAGACCAGCGACAACAAAGTCCAGGGTAGTACCTTTGCCGAGTGGGGAAATAGTGGGCCTCGGGTGGGCCTCTGACCTTTTTGGTGGCCGAAGCGAAATGACGGCCGCCGATGAGATTTATCAATGGCAGCCGTCGTCGGGCCTGCCTCCGAACTCTTCGGGAACAGCCCGTTTTCCCTAATTTCCCAATGCTGGAGGAGGTACTAGTGCTTTAAAGAAAAAGTAAAAAAAGGAAGCGGACTGACGCTCCCCAGAATAGAACGGAGCCAGGACCATAAGGTCCTGCAGAAAAGAAAGAGAGGCTTTTTGCCAAGTTTTTGGGGTTAGGTCCATTCTATTCTGGGCTGCACCAGTCAGGTTCCATTTCCTCCGGTAACTCCATCTCCTCCAGCCACTCAGAACATGTAATAAAGTCAGATGAGCAACAAAAGGAATCACTGCATTGTTCTCTATGCTGGAAGACTGCTGAGAAAGTTTGGGGAAAGTTCAAGGAAGTGTGGCGAGCCATTAGACTCATTACTAACACCCCTTTCTTTTCTGCTTCTGATTCAATCCAGACCCAACTGCTCAAACCTAACCTCCTCCAGCTCTCAAACACTGATACTTCCAAGTACATCCGGAAGGGTAGGTGTTTGGGGGGCTTTGATGATCAAAATTTGAATTCAAAGGGGTGCCTCGAAGTACTAGCAAGACGAATGGAGACCAGAGTGCAGCAACAGAGAGGCAGACACTGTAACACATGTCTTTGCAGATATTTTCTGAATGCAGCATACAGATCCCTGTGCTGTTGAGGTCTGAACTTTGCTTGTGCCGCCATTCATTCACCTGTAGTGCCACATATGCAATCAACCATTGTATACTGGTTTTGCTCCTTTCTGAAAAGTATGATGCTATTTTTAGCCATTGCGGATGGCTATTGCCTAACAATGCCCTTTACCATCATCTTTGCATGACTGTGGTCGGTTCTTCCATTTTTACATTCATGAGGGGTTGATAGAGGTCACTTGCATGACCCAATCCCAGCCACTAATGAGAGGGAGGAAGGCTAAACCGATTTGGCCCATCAAATTACTATTGTGTAATGACAAGATCATGATGTGATGAAATTGACATCATTGTTGACCATTGTTTGTTTCAATTGTTTGTTTTTATGTTGAAATTTTTCGTAGGACAATGTGGTCCTTTCACTCTTCTGACTATGTCTTACCAAACGCTTGGTAATTTCCTTACCTTCGATCAGGCGAAAATGCAATTCCAGTACCTCTTTTATCAAGGATCGTCTTCTCCTCCTTGAATAAGGCAGCAGTCATGCCCAGGCCGATACCGCCTACAACACCATCCGTTCTTGTGCCATCTGTTCGGAATTGGTAATATTTGATGGATCTGTCAGCTGCGATCCCAACAACAGATCCCATGGGAAGCGACATTGATGCTTCGCGAGCCCTATGTGTTGCACCTTGCTTTCCTCTTGCCCGCTTTGCATCTTTCGATGCTACCTTTCCCTGCTCATCCGCTGGGTCTTGGCCCCATCCTGGTCCCTTTGGCTCCTTCCAACCCCTCTCTACAACTGTCCCAATCACCATCAATGGCGCTGTTGTTGGGAGATAGCGACGCCGCAATACTGCTTCCGTCACCATGCCTACGTTAGCCACACGTCCAGATGGAGGTTCAGGACATTGCATCAGCAACAGATCACCACTCAATGTTGAGAGGACCAGATGTGGTTGTGCGGCATAGCTTCTCAGCCAGTCCATAGAGGACACAGTGTCAGACACTGTACAGTACCCAATACACTGGTACCTTGAGGTGTGGCCCCTGGAATATCATTGATGGGCAATGGAGAAAAGGAAAGGAAAATGAGGGGTCATACATTAGGTGATGATGACGGACTGACTGTGGAAAATTTTTATGGATTATGCATTGGGTGATGTTGGAGTGATAATGATATTTACTTGAGGTTTTACCCTCTTTGAATTGTGTTTCTCAGGAGTGGGAAAGGGGGCAAGTTTTGAGAAACAAACAAGCTTTCCACCTGGAGTAATATTGACTGTGCCCTCCTCCTCACGGAGATGATATGCTTGGGAATCCAGAATGTATTGAAGACAGCATCTCAATCAGATAAGTGAAGCACTTGTGGGCATGCTTTCTATTTTGATATTATTGCCAAAGAGTTGAGTTGTTAAACTTCATGATTTTTTTATTTTTTATTTTTTTTTTCCATCATGTTCTTTTTTTTTTTTAATTATAAATCCACGAGGCCGGGAATTCCGCGACATCTCAACCTGGACAGAGCTGGGGCCATTACCCAGATTTGGCTCGAGCTGGAAACTGGGTCCAGTGTCCCCTTATCTGCAACTTCAACAAAAGGGAAACTGAACTAAGAAATGGCAAACAGAAATAAAGGAACAGCTAAGGTTCATGGTTTATTAGTCATCAATTCTCATAATAAAAGATTTTATAATTTTTCGTATCATTTTACACTGGAGAAAGTGCAGCAGAAAGCAGCTTGATGGGCAGTGAGCGTGTTGCCGCTGCTATTTCCATCCCTGCCCATTCTGTATCTCCTTGCGACATTGTTTGCTGGTATACAGATGCATGGTTAAAGCAGTCAAAAAGAAGATCAATGGTCCAAAACAAAACACACTGAAAAGAAGGAACAAGCAAGCTAATAAAAAAGAATGATAAGGCAGGAGATCCTCCACGCCTGCTTAGCGGATAACTCAGAGACCCAGTCGTTGGCAGAACTGTTGTCGTCTCTCTCCCAAGCAGAAGGAAGGGCGTCTAGACAACTGGCAGCCAAGAGGAGGGCAAGGGAAGTTGAGTTAGAGCGAGCGCTCTGATTGGCAGATCGGAACCTGGCCCGCCATCCAGGCACATATTTATACGAAACGACACTCGAAGCAGAAGACAGAGCTAGCATGTGATACACAACCTCACACCCCGCGCAGCGTTCTGTACCTGTGGGAACGCCAATCAGAGTAATTGGGGCGTGGCCGAGGATGTTGGGCGGGGGTTGAACCGCCAGGGCGAAACTGGGGTTCTCGCCTCAGTCCCGGGGTTCATTTCATAAACTCTGGCCGACTGGAGTAACTGCAAAATTCCAGAACGAAGACAGGGACGGAAGGGCGGGGCATCGACAAAATTCCGCCCATTGACTTAAGGATAAAGACACAACTCATTTTAGCACAGGATATGACAACAAGAACTGTGCACAAAGGCAATGGATCTACCGCTTTTTCATCAGTAGGTTCACACCGCCGTTTCCGTGGGGGCCAAGGAGACAAGGGACATCGTAAGCATCCGAGTCCGGTGTGCCGAGCCCGTCCGATCGGCTGAATCCCTCGCCATCTGACAGGGGCGAGGATGGAGGTACAAACACCTAGAGAGGTCCTAGCACAAGCAACCTCTGGACAGCTAACTAGGTGGGGGCCTACGACAGTCTCTGCCACTGGGATCCTCGGACAGGAGGGTGCTTCTCCAGCGCGCGCTTCTATCTTCTTGTCTAAGTCCGAAGTACCTGTAGAGGCGACTGCAACCTCTACTGGCTGTTCCCTTTTGGGTACCTATACTCAGGACAAAAAGGAACGATGTGGTCGGGGTTACCACACTTGAAGCATTGACCGGCCTTACGACGCTCCTCCCATACCTTCTCGTCTATACCCATTTCCAACCAGGTTTGCCTTCAGCTATCCCTGGGTGTTCCGGGTACAGCCGCCAAGCCCTACCTCTACCTCTACCTCTATCTCTACCCCCTGTGAAGGAGGAACATTTGCCACCTTGCGGGGGACCGTTTCCCCTACCACCCAAGTAGTAGCTACCTTCGCCACCACCCTCTGGGCAGCAGGTCCTCATCCTCCACCTCGGCCACAACCTCCTCTTCCTCGTCCTCCCCCGCGGGCTGCAACTGCCTCATAGTCCCTTCCCCGGGCCATATGGTTGTTGCTATCTTCCTCTAGACCGTAATCCATCTGGTCATAAGTCAGGGACTCTACACCTTCTTCTTCGAAGGTGACCAATAGGTTGTCTGAACCCACTATGTTACAGAAAATCGTTCTATCCTTCCACTTCTTCCCAACCTGGAGATCGTTCTAGTAATGGCAGTAGTATGCTTCCTGAAGAAAGCCAGCATGATCCACTGCGATCTGGCTGAACTTCTCATAGGTCATCCCTTCTTCCTTTGTGTGGGGATACAGATTAGTCTTCAAGGCCTCTAGGAGTGCCCTAGCGAAGTTGCTAAGGACCTAAGTGGGGGTCAGTCCATGTTCCTTAAATTGCAATAACTCATCCATAGTGGCCTTTGAGTGTTGACACAATCTTCCACTTCTGATCACTAATGTTGAGGATAAGGGATTCTATTCTACGGGCCAGGTTCTTGTTCTCGAACCTATCCTTCAGGCCTTGAAGAAATCCTCCATACGTGTCCTATGAGAATGCTGCACCATTGATGTGCAGCCAGCATCTTTTACTAAAGAGATGACAAATCTAGCTGCATGACCTGCGTCAACCCCTAGGCATGAACTGGCCATCAATACGCGGTCCCAATATGGAATCATCTGTGAGTACAAATAAGTGCCCATCGCCGCCTCCCAGTGGAAGATGCTCTCTTTTTTTTTCCCCGTGTAGATCCAGGGCAACTTTACGTTCATCTTTTGTCTGGCCCTGGAACCTTCGGCATCCTGATCTCCCTTCTTCTTGGGACCTTTCCCTTTCTTGTCACCATCATCATCACCATCATCATCACCATCATCACCATCCTCTCCTCCATCTCCTCCCCCACCTCCAATCTTCAATCGTCTAATGACGACAGGGTCGGATAACTTTTTGCAGAGGGCCTTATCTAGTTGTTTTATAGAACCGATGATTCGGTGATCTATCTGTTCAGAGGCGATGCGCAGGAAGTTATTCCAAGTTCCCTCGAACTCTCCTTGATGCATTTCGAGCTTACCAACAAATTGATGGAGTGCAACTAATTCTTCACTAGTATGGAGAAGAGTGTCAGTCAGGAGGGTTAGTCGTTCATCTACAATAGCTTCCTTACTTTTTTGTTCTTTTAGCAGCATCTGCAATCTCTCCCCCTTATCTTTCATCTTTTTTTATCATTATATTCTTGCCTTTTCATAGCCACCAACTTATTATTGAGTTTTGCTTTTTTTCCCTCCAGCAGCAAATCTTTCTCTTCCTGGTCTGCTGCTGATGCCAACTTAGCCACAATAGCATCTTTCTCCTCCTCACTCTCTTCTGGCAACTCCGTCCGATACCCGAACTGGCCCATCCAGTCCATTGCCTCCATTTGTAGTAATCGAATGTCCCTGGCACGGCTACTCTCATCCTTCTCTTCAGTCCGCTGGGCTCTTCTTCTCTCCAGCCTCCCATCTCCTTCCTCCTCTTCTTCTTCTTCTTCTTCTTCAGCTTTTGCTAACTCCCTCTTCACCTTCTCCTCTCTTTCTCTCATTTATTTTTCCAATTTCTCTTCCATATCTCTTTCCATCTTTTGTTTCTCTTCCAACAGCTTGTTCTTCGTTTCCTCCTTCCTTTTCTACTCCTCCTTCTCTTTCTTCTTTTCAGTCAGTTTTCTACCTCTGCCTTATCCTTGGCAGTATATGGCTCTATCGATTTCCCAGACCTTAATACTGCAGGTGAGAAAATTGTCCGCTGGAAACCAAGAGGAAAGATAAAGCGAAGAAGGGGTCCCCGCAACACGGACAGGGACAATACTGTGAACATGGGATAGTCATGCATGGTGATAAGAAGCACATGTAGGTAGCCTCCACCTCCTCATCAAGAAGACGTACTCTCTACTACTAATCTACTAACTGAGTGGGTCTGACTTCTGCTGATTGCCTACTTCCCCTCTCACAATGCCTGCTGCCTGGTTGTCCTCAAGACTTAATCAGATTAATCTACTTTTTTTTTTTAACTACTGACCGGATGCTTGCAAATCAGAGATAACTCAATACTTCGACCAACCCAGCAGCAGTGACACCAAGATGTGAAAAGGTACCATTCACTCAGTCATTCATCAAGCAATACAGGGCTTAGGGGGGCGATACACTTCACTCCAGTGAACATTCCATTGATGAAGCTCCACGATTTGCTCCAACGCTCCAGCAAGCAAGTATGTAATCACCAACCCCAACTACGACCACTTCCACTTCGGCCTACCCTCTTTTCGTCAGCCTTCTCCCCACTCTCTTCTCTCATTCACCGGCCTTAACCATTGCCAGCTCACTTCCAGTGGATGTAGCGAGCTTCTAGCTTCGATACCAATTGCAATGAGCCTCCCACCTCGTCACCAATGAGTGCACACACACATACATGCACAAATGAGATTACATGAAATCCACATTTGGAGGCTAGAAAGAAGACCAAGCAAGCGCAACTAGAAAATTCCAACAAATTATCACATGAGCAATTAAGAGTTCTAGTCACAAATGCTCGTCAGCGCAATCTCAGGTAACCAGTATCCGGTATCATCATCTCACAAGTATGTGACCACTCTTCTTAACTTCTCTATGCCCATGTCCTCACTAGGCCTTCTCTCCCTTCCTGCATGCACTCACACTCTCTACTACTCAAGGACCAGCTACGAATACACCCACTGTTGACTCTACTAACCCCTTTGAGTTCTACTACTAACTACTAGCAATGGTGAAACTATGGCTGCCTTCCCTCTGTCAGCGCTGGGGCAGCTACGGCTGCTCTCTCTCCCTCACACAATGCAGCTCCCTGGTTCAACGCTTTGCTCTTCACAATAGCGCACAAGTGCACCAGTACTTCCACACTTCATGCAAATGAGCAATCTGCCAAAGGGGAGGCTGGCCAATCCTTATATTGTCGTGGACTGAGCTTCAACTCGTCCTAGCCTCTGCTTCTTGGGGCTTGACTTGGTTTTGGTACCACATCCCCACGACCTGTTTGCTTCAGAATGTCAGGGCCTGGTACCTTTCCCAAATTGTCATTGGTGTGCTGCTGCTTGGGCCTGTGAGTCACAAGTTTTCAATTGTGGAATGTGACTTTTCACTGTGTGACGTGACTTTTGCTTAAAGAACGCAACCTTTGCCCCTGGGATGTGACTGTTCACCGGGTGCCTGTTGGACTTGACTCCTAAGGTACCCGAATCTGACTCCTCTGAAACTGACCGTCTTGGCCTAAGACCTTGACCCTGAAACTCGAATTTGGGGTCTGAATCGCGGAAGGCCTTTCACTCTCACTGGCCTAATTTCGAGGTCCTCCGAGAAAGTTATCAACTTTACCTATCTATTATGTTAATTCCTCTCTTAGCCCTCTCGTAGTAGGACACAAATGCTGTGCTGTCTCAATTAGTTCATCTCTCGTAAACCAGCGATCCTCTGAAGGTTCCTAGTATGCAAACCTAACCTTATATTGTCGTTGTGGTCTACCCATGTGCCCAGATCTGTAAACATCTTCTTCAACAATCCTATCCACATCATACTTACCATCCATATCAAGGGGAATCATAGATCTGTGTGATGGAAACATGTCGTTACTAACGCAAGTAAGTAACTTTGAGGCGCGAAATACCGGATATGTGTGCAAGTGAGGAGGAATCTCAACAACAAATGAGGGACCATCCACATCACCAGTTGCATCCAGAATCTGCCATGATCCTTTATAAGCAGGCAACAATTTCTGTGAGATGTTCTCCTCAGGGAGAAACTCTTTTGACTCTACCTAGACCAAGTCCTCTACAACAAATCGTGAAGGCCTACGGTGCTTATTTGCCTGTTCCACCATCTGGTGCTGTGCCTTACGGATATTCTCCTTGACTTTGTCTAAGTCCTTTTGGTACTGCATAGCAAATTCCCTAGTCCCTGGGGGAAGTCTCTGTACTTGATCAGGGTTTAAATAGTCAATTCGTCTACGAGGACGCCATCCAAGATGCAGTTCAGTAGGTGTCCTAGATGTAGCTAGATGCACAGAGTTATTATAGGCACTCGCAACCTTTGGCAGATGTTCATCCCAGTCAATCTGATCTGGCCGGATGTACATGCGCAGCACCTACTGCAGCAGTTTGTTCATCTGCTCGGTCTATCCTTTCGTCTCAGGGTGTCTACCTGAAGACATAGTCAGTTTGGACCCATATACTTTCATCAGTTGCTGCCATTGTTCACTTGTGAACCGCATATCTCTGTCACTTACGATAGCCAAGGGATGCCCAAAGTCCTTCACCCAATGAATAAAGAACTCCCTAATCACCAGATCAGTCCTTGCATCTGCAGGGACTGGAACAAAAACAGCAAATTTGCTAAATTTGTTTACCACTACCATAACTTGACTCTTACCGTTTCAGCGCTTTACCTTGGTGTCCATGAAGTCTACAGACCCGGAGTCCCCGGTTCCCGACGGAATAGGCAGCGGTCTAAGTAATCGAAGGGGAGGTTGTGTCGAACTCTTGTTGCTTTGACATACCTGACAACCTTGTACATAGGAAATGCAATCATGCTTCATTCCCACCCATGTGTAAGAGAGTAGGAGGTTAGCATATGTCTTCCGCCATCCGAAGTGGACCTCAGTATCGTGACTTTCCCCAAGTATAACGCTGCAAATTTCCTCACTGTTCGGAATACACAATCGATCATGGACATCCGTTTTTTCAAACAGCAATCCTTGTGTCATTCTAAAATTCGAGACTTTACGTGGTGCAGTCTGCACCTTACTGGTCAATTGGCTATAGACTGGATCACTCGCATAGGCAGAGTTAATATTTTCTTGTAGTTCGGTGCCTACATCTAGATATGTTACAATAGCACCGAAAATGTCAACTCTCCTACTCAACGCGTCAGCGACAACACTATATTTCCCCTTGACTGGCTTCAACTCAAAATCAAATTGGTCGATCTCCCCAGCCCACCTAATGAATTTCAGTGCCATTCTAGCCTGGGTTTTCAACCAGCGAAGTGTTTCGTGATCTGAATACACTTTGAAGCGGCATCCTAGAAGATAGTGCCGCCAATGATTCAGTGCTTCCCGTAAAGCAAACAACTCTCTCTCGTATGTGGAAGTGGCGACCTTCTCAGTAGGCAGTCTATAGGACAAACTCGACTGGTCTGTACCCATTGCCATCATTTTGTTGGAGTACAACAACTATCCGGTACTAACTGGCGTCAGTGGTAACAATGAAAGGCAAGGACGGGTCAACAATTTTCAAAACCGGATATTCAATTAGACACTTTTTCGAACGCTTGAAGGATGTTGTGCAGTCCTGATCCCATTTCCAAATGGTCTCCTTTTTCAATAGCCTGCGTAATGGGGCAGCAATTACTGTGAGGTTCCGAATGAACTTGCGGTAATAGTTGTGAGGTTCCGTCAACGTTCGCGGGTTAGGCCAATCTCTAATGGTTGCAATCCTTGTGTCTTCCGGTTTGATCCCATCTCCATCTAAGATGTGTCCTAGATACAGTACCTGACGCTTAGCCCACTCACATTTCTTGGGGTTCAACTTGAATTTCGCTTCACGTAGCTGATTTAGCACCAACCGAAGGTGCTCCTCGTGCTCACTCAATTTTTTACTAAAAATCAGTGTATCATCCAAATAAACCACGACAAACTTATCAAGCCAATCACGGAAGAGTTCATTCATACATCGCTGGAAGGTTGTAGGGGCATTTGTCAAACCAAACGACATCACCACAAACTCATAGTGGCCATATCTAGTTCGGAAAGCCGTTTTGTGCTGATCCTCGTGCAATACCTCAATCTGATAGTAGCCCGATTTCAGATTAATTTTGGAGAAGTATCTACAACCCTAAACTCTATCCGGGAGATCATCTATTTGTGGTAATGGTTCAACATTCTTAACGGTTATCGCACTAAGTCCCCTATAGTCTATGCACATACGCAGCTCACTGCCCTTCTTTGGCACAAACAGAATCGGTGCACCGAACGGTGAGGAGCTTGGCCTAATCCACCCCTTCTCGATCAACTCATCCAACTGCTTCCGCAGTTCGTCAAGCTCTTTGAGAAACGCCCTATAGATGGGGCCCTTGGGGATCCTCCTTCCGGGTTCCAAGTCTATCCGGTGCTTGGTCTCCCTCTCAACTATTCCACTTTGGGCCTCTCCAACACCAGTGAACTCAACAAGCAACTTCTGCATATTTGGGGGAATGTGTTCTTCCTCTTTCTTACTTTCACTCACCGAACGCACATACGCAACAAACACTTGGTCGGTGAGGTCATTTTTGACCACATGTTGGGCGAACGCGGAGGCACTCATGCAACAAAGGGATAGGCTATTCTCTACGCCAGATGCATGGTAAAGTCGGATTTTCTTCTTTCCATTTGCAGGGCTAGGCAAAGAACACTCATGCTCACCTAATTTCACATCTGCATCAGTGGCCTCACCCCAGTCAGTTCCTAGTATCATTGCAAAGGATAAGCTATCCTCCACTAAGAGTGTCAGGGAGTGCAACACTTTTTCTATCTTCCCCCCTGCCTCCAACCGGAAGTATGCCCTAACCTCTTCAACGTATTCGTCTACTATCATCTCTCTGTTGCCGGCCAACTTGCTAACAACGGGCTCTTCTAGCTTGTTTACCTTCAAGCCCAGGTGCAACTTTTGCAACCCTTTCTTATATAACTGCGCGTAGACCCACTGTCTATCAACTCACCTATCCTTTCTCTATTCACTTCTACATCTTCTATTATCAATTGCCGTTTCTTCTTCTTCATCTCGGCCCAAGCGCAGCGACGAGTGATCAGTTCATCACCAATGCTTGTGAGGGAACCACCTAGAGAGGTCCTCGCACAAGCAACCTTTGGACAACTAACTAGGTGAGGGCCTACTACAGTCTCTACTGGTTCCTTTTGGGTACCTATACTCAGGACAAAAGGAACGATGTGGTCGGGGTCAAACTTCACAATGGTGTGGCTCCGCTTCACCGTGCCCTTGATCCAATCCAACTTGTTGATGTCCCATAGCAGCAAGCTGCAGCAATGCGCAGCACACGGAACCCAAGGTATCCGTGAAACCGGCAAGTCCGTGCGCCGCTCCAAAATCTGCGTGGCCTTCTTGTTCACCTCCGCATTGTCGGTGCAAATTGCATTGATGCGTTGCAGACCGACCTCCCTCATTATCTTCTCCCAAAGTCTGGCCAGTGCTGGTCCGGCCTTCTTCTTTCCATCCATCGACACCGTTGCCACCAGGACCGCTCCCTGCTCCCCCCCCGCCAAGAAATTCATGACAGGCCTTTCCCTCCGATCGGTCGACCTGTCCGTGATGAAAGTGCAGGCCGTGACATCCCAGCATGCAGTCAGAGGCTGCACTTGCTTTTGAATGCGCAAAAAGATAAAGTCGAGCATCACCGTCCGGATGTGCTTCGCATAAGGCAATTTCACCTTCGGTCGTGCGCTGGCCACCTCGTGCAGTTTGAGAGTGGTGTCGAAGTTCAAAAAATTGAACGCGATTCCCGCCCGGAACATTGCCTCCGCCCATGCGATGTCCAACTTCTTTTGAGCTGCGTTGTCCACCCATCTTGTGATGGTCATTTGCTGCACCGGAGACGCCCTTGTGGTGGTTTGACACTCTTCTCGCAGCGCCTCCCCCGCTGCGCTTTCTTTTCCCCACTGCGCCATCTCCTCGACCGGCTCCCTCCCTGCAGCAACCGGCGGTTGTGGCTCCTCGTAACCACGACAAAAAACCACGTCCCCATCATCGTCGTTTGCTGCAGCCCCCCCCTCCGAGATGTTGTGCAGCTGCCTGTAGTTCTGCAATAGGTAGCGAGTCTTCTAATCGCTTGGCAACACCTTCGCCCCTTGGGCCACCAGCTTATGCACAATCTCCCCTGTCCGGAAAGGGCACAACTTGAGCATCTTCATGAAATGCTCAACTGCTCGTGTCTCCAAATGGTCGAGCATAGCCGACACCTCGGCCAATACTCTCACTGGCCCTTCGACACAGCCTCCTGCCCTTGTTCCATGTGCTTCCGTATCTCCTTCTCGCCCTGCAGCTTCTTTTGTCTACATTCAGGCTGTGGGACGAACAACGAGGGGTCAGTAGCCGGTGTTGGTTCTTTGTAAGTCACCCCCGACGAAGGTGTACTTGAGCTAGCGATGTCCTTCCCGCTTCCCTCTCCTCTTTCCAACGGCCTCCGACTTCCTTGTCCACCAATCGCACCCCTTGCACTGCTCCCACCAGCCATGGTGCTGCAACCACCTCCTCCCTGCAACTTCAATTCTCGCCCTGCAGCTTAACAATGTTCAAGAAGAAGAAGAAGAAGAAGATGGATTGATGAATGAATGGAGGGAGGGAGGGACGACGAGATGGGAGGATGGATGGATGAAGGGAGACTGCTAAACAACGTCCAAAAAGAAGAAGAAGAAGAAGAAGAAGAAGAAGAAGAAGAAGAAGAAGAAGAAGGATGGATGGATGGAGCGAGGCGGGGAGGTGGCGAGATGGGAGAATCGATGGAAGGCTGCTAACCAATGTTGAAGAAGAACTAGAGGGAGGGGGGGAGGGATGGCGAGATGGGAGGATGGAGGGATGGACCGGGGGGAGGAATGGCAAGATGCGAGGATGGAGGGATGGAGGGAGACTGCTTAACAAGGTCCAAGAAGAAGAAGGAGATGGATGGATGGATGTATGGATGGAGGGGGGGAG